TGTGGTTTTAATTTGCATTTCCCTAATAATTAGCGATGCTGAGCATTTTTTCATATATTTGCTGGCCATTTGTTTCTCTTCCACTAAAAATGTCTGTTCTTATATTTTGTCTACTTTTTAATGGGGTTATTTGTTTTGTTCTTGCTGATTTGTTTGAGTTCCTTATAGATTCTGGATATTAGGCCTTTGCCAGATATATAGTTTACAAAATTTTCTTCCATTCCATAGGTTGTCTATTTACTGTTGATTATCTCTTTTGCTGTGCAGCAGCTTTTTAGTTTAATTAAGTCCCATTTATTTTTGTTTTTGTTATATTTGCATCTGGGGTCTTAGTCATAACTTTTTTACCTAGGCCAATGTCAAGGATAGTTTTTCCTAGATTTTCTTCTAATATTTTTATGGTTTCAGGTATTACATTTAAGTCTTTAATCCATCTTGAGTTAATTTTTGTGTATGGTGAGAGAGGGATCCAGTTTCATTCTTCTGCATGAAACTATCCGATTTTCCCAGCACCATTTATTGAATAGGATGTCCTTTCCCCAGTGTATGCTTTTGTCTGATTTGCTGAAAATCAGTTGCTTGTAGTTATTTGGCTTTATTTCTGGGTTCTTTATTCTCTTCCATTGGTCTACATGCCTACTTTTATAACAGTACCATGCTGTTTTGTTTACTGTTACCTTGCAGTATAATTTGAAGTCCAGTAATGAGATGCCTCCAGATTTGTTCTTTTTGCTTAGGATTGCTTTGGCTATTTGTTCTCTTTCTTAGTTCCTTATGATTGTTTTTTTTCTAATTCTGTGAAAAATGATGTTGGTATTTTGATAGGAATTGTATTGAATCTGTAGATTACTTTGGGCAGTATGGACATTTATTTATCTATTTATTTTGAAAACGTATAGTACTGAAAAGTATTTTATTTCATTTGATTTTTTTTTTTATTTCAGAGTATTATGGGGGGTATAAATGCTTTGGTTACATAAATTGCCTTTGCACTGCCAGGCAAATGTGCCCGTACCCCAGACAGTGCACACTGCATCTATTAGTTGTGGATTTACCCATTCCCTTCTCCCACCTCCCACCTGCCTCACACTCTATGAATGTTACTTCCCATATGTGCACATTAGTGGCGATCAATTAGTACCAATTTAATGGTGAATACATGTGGTGTTTGTTTTTCCATTCTTGTGATACTTTCACTTAGAAGAATGGGCTCCAGCTCCATCCAGGATAATACAATAGGTAGTTCATCATTTTTTATGGCTGAGTAGTACTCCAAGGTATACATATAGCACATTTTGTTAATCCACTCATGTGTTGATGGGCACTTGGGTTGTTTCTACCTCTTTGCAATTGTGAATTGTGCTGCTATAAACATTCAAGTGCAGATGCCTTTTTTATAGACTGTCTTTTTTTCCTTTGGGTAAATACCCAGTAATGGGATTGCTGGATCGAATGGTAGTTCTACTTTTAGTTCTTTGAGATTTTTTTTAAATGTTGGTTCTTCCAATCCATGAGCATGAGATGCTTTTACATCTGTTTGTGTCATCCACAATTTCTTTCATCAGTGTTTTGTAGTTCTCCTTGTAGAGATCTTTCACCTCCTTGGTTAAGTGTATTCCAAGGAATTGTCTTCTTAATTTTCTTTTCAGATTGTTGTTCTCTGTTGAATGGAAACACAACTGATTTTTGTATGTTGATCTTGTTCCCTGTAACTTTGCTGAATTTGTTCATTAGCTTTAAAATATCATTTCTTCTTTAAATATTTGGTAGAATTCACCAGTAAAACCATTTAGACCTGGTACTTTCTAGTTTGGAATGTTATTAATTGTTGATTTAATTTCTTTAATAGATACAAACCTGTTCAGATTATCTGTTTTTCCTTGTGTGTTTTTGTAGATTGTATCTTTCAAGAAATTTGGCCATTTCATCTAACTTATCAAATTTGTGGGCATAGAGTCATTTATAATATTTCTTTTTATCCTTTTAATGTCCATAGGATCAGTAGCTATGACCACTCTCTCATTTCCAATATTAGCAATTTATTTCTTTTCTCTTCTTTTCTTGATTACCCTGGTTAGAGGTTTATTGATTTTATTGATCTTTTCTTAGAACCAAATTTTGGTTTCATTGATTTTCTCTATTGTTTTTATTTCATTGATTTTTCCTCTAATTCTTATTATTTCTTTTCTTCTCCTTACTTGAGATTTAATTTGCTCTCTTTTTCCAGTTTCCCAAGGTGGAAACTCAGACTACTGATTTTAGATCTTTTTTCTTTTCATATATTTGTATTCAATTTTCCTTAAGCACTGCTTTTGCAGCTTCCCACAAATTTTGGTAAGTTTTATTATCATTTTCATTTAGTTCAAAATATTTTTCATTTCCCTGGAGACTTCTTCTTTGACCTATGTGTTATTTAAAAGTATGTTGTTTAATTTCCAAACGGTTTTGTATTTTTCAGCTGCCTTTCTGTTATTGACTTTTAGTTTAATTTCATTGTGGTCTGAGAGCATACTTTGGATGCTTTCTGTTCTTTTAAATTTGTTAAGATATACTTTATGGCCCAGGATATGGTCTATTTTGATGAATGTTCCATGGGAGCTTGGGAAGAATTTGTATTCTGCTGTTGTTAGAGGAATCATTCTATAAATGTTAATTAGATCCAGTTGATTGATGGTATTGTTCAATTCGTCTACATCTTTAACAATTTTCTGCCCACTGCATATATTGATTACTGATAGATGTTAAAGTTTCCAACTATTACAGCAGATTTATCTATTTCTCCTTGTAGTTCTATCAGTTTTGCCTCATGCATTTTTGATTCTTTGTCATTATGCTCATACATATTTGGGATTGGTATGTGTTCTTGGAGATTTACCCCATTATCATTATGTAATATCCATTTTAATCCCCAATAACATTGCTTGTTCTTAAATATACCCTGTCTAGAATTAATATAGATGCTCCAGTTTTCTTTCAATTGGTGTTAGCATAGTATATCTTTCTCCATTTACTATTTTTTCCCCTCCAGCTTTATTGAGGTATGACTGACAAAAATTGTATCTATTTAAGGTCTATAATGTGATGTTTTGATATATGTATGCACTGTGAAATAATTAGCACATGTTATATTAATCAAGCTAATTAACGTATCAACCACCTCACATAGTTATTCCAATTTATTTACTTTTAAAATCTACCTCCTCCTTTATATTTAATGTGGGCTCCTTGTAGACAACATACAGTTGAATCTTATTATTCTTATACACTCTAATAGTCTCTGCTGAACCCAGGATGGGGTGGGGGGGGAAGGGCAAGTAAAAATACCTCAAAGCTTTTCTACCATTTTTAAGTTGCCTTTCTCTTGCTTCATCTTTGCTTGGATACTGTAAACCTTTGACTACTTTCCAGAATTCTGAAAAAGTTGATTAAGACAGTTTTTTCTTGCTTTTCTGATATTTCTATAGAGGGGTGGGTCCTGGGAGCTATCTACTCGGCCATTTTAATTGATATCTGTCAGATAGTTTATATTTCATTGGCTTTTTTTTTCCCTCTCTATCTTGTATTTTTAAAGGGGATTCATTGGCTTTTTGATGAACCAATTATTTAAAAAAAATCAATTCTGATGTTTTTATCTAATTTGCTAATTTGTGGTTTTGTATTGAATAAATTTATTCCCCTTAATGTTTGTTTTATTTTATTAGCATTTTTCTATAATTTAGACTTGAATGTTTAATTAATTTATTTTGCCTTTCTTTAAAAACAAAGTTGTCTAATGCTACATATTTTATATGAGCTGTATATTATAGGTTTTTAAATGTAGTAGCTTCACTATTATTATTTTTTTTAAAGTCTATAATTGTAGTTTGTATTCTCTACTTGATCTAAGAATTATTCTTCGAAGGGTTTTTTTTAATTTTCTTAGTGATTTGTTTTATGAGCTGGGCTTTTTGTTATTTATTTCTACTTTTATTATATTGTGGTCTGACTGGTTATATCTATTTGAAATATTTCAGTGTCACAGACATAAAGGTTCATGTCCCTTACCTATACTGTGGATTGTACTATTTATCAATATAAAATGCCTTTTTTTAGCCTTAATGATTTTTGTTTTGATTTCTGTTATAATTTGTGTGATATTAATATTGCTAGTCCTGCTTTCTTTTGTTAACTTATCCACTTTTTTGTGTTTAATTGATATTTAATTATACATTATGTTTTGTGTGCATGTGTGTGTCCTGATAAATCTGCTCTTATTTCTTTTGTTTGCTTTGTTGTATTTTGTTTTATCACATTTTAAGTTATTTTTTCTGTTGATATTTTAGAATTCATGAATACTATTTTTAGTCTACTATATTTTAAAAAATTATGCCTTTATTTTGGTGCCAACTTTAAGAACTAAATGAAATCTATTGACTCCTCTTCCTATCCCTGAATGAGACAATTGTGGAAGCACATGTTTCCCTTCACTTTCCATATTTTGTCCAAACTCTGTAATGTTAGTTACAGATATTCTGATTTTTACATTATGAATATTCCCTTTTAAGAGTGTATTCTTAATATTTACATTAAGCTTCACAGACATATTAACAATTAATGACCATTATTTAGAATAAATGGTAAGTTTTACTGGACTCATTTCTCACAATTTTATTTCATGATCACTCTCTGGAAGTGAGTGATCTTATTTTTGGAAATACGAGATCAACATAATATTCTATACCCCGTGGGAACATGTGTCTTTGGTAAATCTCTACAGTGCTTGAACAATGTTTGAATGTGAGTGCCTTTAGTCTGGCCATGCTGCCTGGTTCACCACCATCTCTATTGCTCCCTCCTGCCTGCTTGATGTGCCTGCCTGTATACCAGTTTGTGTTTACACATTCTCTTCTAGGCCTCCTTGGACAACATACAGTTTCAAACATCCAAGTGTTTAAAATGTGATCCTGTGTTCTTACATTGAGTAACACTCTGCTTTATGCCTTTTTTTCTCTTGGATTTAGGCTTTGGAAGATCGAGTATGGGAACTCTTGCAGGAAGCAGACAAGATAGCTGAAGAGAACCAGGATCAGAGTCAGGTGTACGACGCCATGGCCAAGACTCTGGGTGAAGCGTGGGCTGCCCTGGTCTCCATGCTTGAAAGAAGAAGGGAGCTCCTTAGGTTGACCTCTGAATTTTTTGAAAATGCCTTAGAGGTTTGTATTTTTAAAAACTTCCTTCTCTACATCAGACCAAATGAATAGCACTACTGAAATATTTTATTTCCACAAATAGGCAATGCAATCAGTTCAAAAAATGGCAGAATAATAAAGACATACACAATACAAATTTTTGATTGTCAAAAAATAAAATTGTTCATATTTTAAGTGTAGGTCTTCAAACAAAAACAAAGTACACCTAACTAAAATTAAGTAAAACATTAAGTAAAAATGGGAACTCTAACTCAAAAGTCATGATTTATTTCCCTCTTTAGAAGATAGTCATATAGTTACCCTAATTACAAGATTACTAGGAAATACTGGTCTAGAGTGTTCTTGTTGGCTAAAAGTTAGAATATAAAGTTTCTTCTGCTTATTTTTTTTTAAAAGCAATTACAGAATATTCCATAGGATGTTTGACTTGTACTTAGAGCATGTTATAGAATACTTTTCTAAGGTATATAGTTGATTTCCCATAGTTTGGACTCATTAAAATTTAAGGGAAGGAAAAAGTCCTAGACCTAAGACAGTCATTTCTCCCTGTGATTTTTCTTCAATTCTGTGATTTTTTTTTTGAGGTTCCCAATTTCAAAATGTGAGATTCAAAGAACATTATCAGAGGAGGTGTTATATTTGGTATAAGACAGTTATTGGAAATTTCACTTTTAGCTTCTCTGTCAAGTGGGAGCACATTCATTTTGATGTGAGAGCACTGCTTCATTATAATAAAGCACTACCTTTGAAAAATATGACATTTTTAAACTGAAAATTTAGGACTTAAATTCAAAATAATGAAGGAAAGAAGATTAGTAATAGAACATAAAAATTGCGACAGACGATCTCATGCATCATGAATACATTTAAAAGCAAAAAGGAAGAGCAAAAACTGTATTGTAACTTCCAAGGCTTGTTTTTCACAATTTAAGCACTGAAGTCCAACTCACAGTTCATTTTAGAGACCATTGTGGGGAAAAGTTCCATATGCAATCTTTTTTCCAGAAAAGGAATAAAACAGCTGAAGTATACCTACAGAGGCCAAATTATAGATACATCTGATTCATTCCATCTTAGTAAGTGCAGGGTAGGTGTCAACCGCTCTTGAAACTTGGCTCTTTTGAGCACAGGAAATTATCTCTTTCCTAACATTAGCCCCAATGTTTGTTTCTCACTGTGTTTTAGTGTTAATGCTAGCTTATTTTTTCCATGATGAGCAAATTACTTTCAGATATTGCATAAAGTAAAAGGAAATACTAGTCAAACCATAAAACCATAATTCAGACCAGCACTCTTGTTCTTATACTTCAGCGAGCTTTTATTGGACCTAGTGAAAAGACTAATTGTTTCTTGTATTATCCTGCTTTCAATTTTGTGGACCATTTCATACTAAGCTGCAGACAAGCTCCTACATAATCTTCATGCCCCTTTTGAATGCCAAAGCAATCTTCATTAGTGATAAAAAGGAAGAGGGTGAAATTAAGTCTAGGGTCTTCGAAAAGTTCTTCCCTGCTGCTAGTTCTACCCTACACAAGCTGCAGAAAGAAGAAAAGTGTAACTTTTAGGTGGGAAAAGAAAATATCAGTAAGATAAAAGTTAACAGAACTTTAGGGAAGCTTTTTCTGAATAAAGCATTGATTTGCTTATTGGTCTATTTATTTTTAATTTTAAATAAGAAGCTGAAATATAGATATAAGTTATACAGTGACTCAAAAATTTTTGTTATGTTCTATAGGGAAAACCCAAATCACCTATGGAGGAGTGGTGTTTTTTTTTCTCTCTCTCTTTGAGGTTCTCTTTAAGGAATGTCTTTAAAATCAGTTATTAGAAATTGAGTGAATTAGAGATGTAAATAATGAGTGGATACGATCCTCTTAATGAACTATGTGCATGCAGGAGTTCCTTAGAAGTGCAAAATGACTTATTATTGCATAGTTGATTATTATTGCAGAATGATGCCAGGCTCACAGATTTAACTGTCAGGTAGGTTATTCTCTCAAACACTGCTGAAATTTAGGAGCACTGCCCCTAAGTGACAACAGCAGTTGTCCATCAGGCTGTTCTCAGAGGATGGCAGAGGCCTTTTCTGCATTTCTACAACATGACCGCCTGCTCATCAGTCTCTCTTTCACCATTCCCTTCCATTTACAATTGGATTTTATATGGCTGTTGTAATAATCAAAATACAGTAGATCATGTTAATCCAATAGTTTCATAAAAACATTAAAAACCACCAAATTCAAAGATCACAGTTTGGAGAAGACTTGAAAAAGAGGACAAGCACTGTGGCAGGCTGCTATGTCTTTCACATCGATACTTTTCCTTAATTAGTTTATTCTAAACCTAATCTAAAGGTGAACATATTGATTAACATACTCTGATAGGAGTTCTACTCAGCCATAAAAAAGGAATGAATTAATGCCTTTTGCAACAATTTGGATGGAACTGGAGACCATTATCCTAAGAGAAGTATCTAAATAATTAAAAAACAAACACCACATGTACTCACTATTAAATTGGAACTAACTGATGAGCACACATATGCACAGAAGGAAGTAAAACTTACTAGAAATCAAGCAGGGATGAGGGAAGAAGAGGAGATGGGCAAAAATGTACCTAACGGATACAATGAACACTATTTGGGTGATGGACATTTATAGCCCTGATTCAAGCATTACAAAAGTGATCCATGTAACCAAAAACATTTGTACCGCTATAATATTTTGAAATAAAAAATGCTCTTGTAAACTATAATAATTACCACTGACTCTGTGGTAAAACAAACCAGCTATTTGTCTACCTCTATAGACATACTGTGATAACATAACCAGATATATTTTAGCCTCTTCTAAAATTTGTTTCTAAGATTATTTCCCTGAGAATTTTAACATCACTCTAAGCATCTCTCTCTCCCTCCTATTTTCTCCACAGGGAAAAACAAAAAGAGAGACCAGTCATATTCCTCACCACTTAGGGTGTCAAATTACCATGCATTTTCCTTGAAATAGAGGAGAAATTTTCCATTTGTCATTCTTGCTCTAGCTGACCTCATTTTTATTCATATAAATAATGCATAAAATTATTGATAAAATGCAAACAAAATTACAAATTATAATCTCAAAACTAAAAGTTTACCTCCCCTCACTCATCCTTAATCTCATTTCTTCTTATTAAGGTCACTATTTGGTTTGTATCTTTTGAGGCCACTTAATGTACAAATATATTAATATATATTTTTTTCTTTGTATAAAAACTGAGATTAGACTATGTATTATTCTGGAACTTGTATATTTAACCTCTAAGTTCAATCATAGAGAAAAAAATAACTATATTTCAACCTTCTAAGTGAGTTCTTACATTAGAATTATTTGTAATTATATAGGTTACTTGTTAGCCATCCCTTTGTTGGTTTCCCTTAGCAAACCTTTTGCTTATTCTTTAACTGCCTTAGAATGTTGAAGGTGAATATATTTATTACATAGAACACAGTAGTTTTGTTTGAAAAATTTAACAGACATCTGCACAGTAAACAAGTTGGTTTATTTCAGCAAACATATTTCCAGGTATGAAAGGAAGAAAGGTATGAAAGGAGAGCAAGTTCTTACCATGACACTTTGTAAATCGGCTACATGCAAACACACACCCTCACAGAAATACCCTAAGCCAATACACACACAAACACACCATCACACAAACACACACACACACAAACATACACAACTGCACTAACACACACATAGGCCATTAATTTATAAAAAAAAGTCTACAAATAACAAAAAGTGGAATGTTAATTTTTTTCAAATATCTTTCCCTTGTATTTCTGTTGTAGTTTGCTATTAAAATAGACCAAGCTGAAGATTTTCTCCAGAATACTCATGAATTTGAAAGTGCTGAGTCCTTAAAATCACTTCTTCAGCTTCATGAACATCATACTAAAGGCAAGAAATATGTTTATTTCTCATGGAAACTTTTATAGGTTTTCAAAGATGTTAATATGAGAATACTTATGTATGAACGTGTATTCTTAATTTATTCATGCATCCCTCAACTTGCTCCAAGAAAGGTTAAATAAAGCTTTCTTTTTTGCTCATCTTCTGAAGGAAAGAACTATTTGTAAATGATTCTAAAGGGATGGTAGAGGAAGCATCCCCCGGAGATTCAGTTATTCAGTCTGCTAGTTTTAGTTCCTGAGGACAGAAGCCATTTCATTGTTCATCCTTTTATCCTCAGCATCTAGCAAGGTGCCCGGCACATCGCGGAGACTCAAGAAATATTTCTTGGTTGAATTCAGTGAATATTCCTTTTAAGAATCGATGACTGAAGGTCATCCGTTAAATAAAAAAGAAATTGTGAGATTTTCCAAGATAAAAATCTAATAAAACACTATACAAAAAAGGTTTTCAACGCCCTCTGAACAACTATAAAGATAATCTAATTGTTAACCAACATTTTGTATGCCAGACCTTTCTACTAGAATTTGGGGCGGGCCAGAACTGGAGCAGGAAAGGCATTTGTGGAAGAGTAGCAGTGACCTGTCATCTTTTACTTTAGGAGTAAGTTTGATAAATACACAGGAACAATCACTTCTTTTCTTCCTAATGTGTTTTCTAATTTTACTGCCAAATAGAACTGGGTCTGAGTGGAATGACTTTCTGAATTCATCACAGTTCTAATTTGACTTCTAGCTCTGCAAGCCTGTCATGCTGGATAGGGCAGAAGTGTTTTTAAAGACACAGATAAATTTTTTGTGTATATCACTCTTCAAAGGACCCTAGATAATAGATCATTATGACTAATTACTTATCAGAACTTTTCCAAAACTCAAAGATTAAAGGACTCAGTCTTTCCTGTATAAATTTTTATGAGATGCTACCAAATACATATGTGTAATTTTAACTGATTATTGGTCTGTAGGACTTGTCACTAAAAAGGATTAGAAACAGCACCAAAATATTGTGCCTTAAAGCAGCAGCTGCACATTTTTATGCAGCAGCAGTGATCTAGCTGGGTCCAAAGGGGATGAGCAGAATCACATGAAAGTCCTCCTAGGAGACTGGAAGGCGAATGGAGTCCAGGTAGCAGGTGGGTTCTGTGGTCTCAATTCAATCCTCCACCCACCATGATCATCACACAGCAGTTTTACCTCCAGAAACCTGACAGTGACTGATGTTTTTGTTAAAGAGGTTCATTATTGAGGCAATCCAATGAAAGCATTTTCCTGGGGGATTGAGAGATTGTGGAGGTAGGGACTTTTCCATAAATATCTGGGGATGGAGCTGGCAGGGGAAGTAGCCTTAATGCTGTTTTGTGGTTGTTGCTGCTGATATTGGCTCCTTCAGAGTCACTAAGTATCTGCAACGCAGTGGACCAGTTTACATGGGGCGCATGCTACTTTGTTTGGAGGCTTTAGGCTGCACATCCCTGGCACCCAGCTGATAGCAAAACCAATGTCTTGCTTTTCAGGGGTATAGCCTTCGAGAGTCCATTGGGCCTCCTCTTAGTTGGAAGAGATGGATAAGAATGCTAGCTGAAGACAGGAAACATAGTTATTTTTGTGATGACAAAATAGTCTTCTTTCCTGATGGCATGTTTATCATGACACTTTTGTGCCCCTCTATGCGATACTTGAAGCACAGGGATTGCCGAGGCCTCTCTGGTCAGGATATCTGGCTCCCAGTTCAAATGCTCAATGGTGTTTCATAAAATGTTTCATGAAACAGAAAAATGGGAGTTGATGAAATTTATTAATCAACTAACCCAGTGTGATATGATTCAGATTAGCTGATTTGAAATGTATACTCAAGTTTGAAACTCTGATTTTTAGTTAACGACTTCTTATCTGCTATCTTTATATTTAAGGAAATAAAATATAAGTGCAACTAGCAGTTCTAATAGGTTTCTGAGATATTGATCAGTTGAGGAGGACAAAAGGTGATTGTTTGGATGACAAAAGCTGGAAAAACTGTAATCAAACTCACCCCTAATAGCCACTTTATTTCAATTAGCTTCACCTAAGCTTTTTCCTTATTCAGCAATGCTAAGGCTATGTTGCACATAAGAAGCTTAAATTCTGTAACACTGCAGAAGTCAGGACGGGGTGAATGGGTTGAGGCTTCTGCCCTCTGTAATGTTTCAGAATAAGTTGCTTCCCTCCTCCACATGAAAATCTTTGAAATAGTTGAAGACTAACATATCCTCTTGTTTTTTCTCCTTTGGCTTAACCGTGCCTAGTTAAAGTCTTTTCCAACAAACCCGATTTCCAGACTACTTACCAGCCTACTTGCCCTTACTTCAACAAGACACAATTAAACATTTTCTGAACCCATACCTGTTGAGAACCCCAGAGGTATATGTCGAGGAAGTATGTGGCCCTTGTCCTCGAGAAGCCTGCAATTTAGTAGGGCATGTACATCCTTGTTGGTGATTTCCTTCTGTCTTTCCTGTGGGTACCTCTGTTATACCACACCACTCACTGTCTAGTAATAATCAATTTTCTTATTTATTTCCATCCCCAGATTGTGAGACCCTGGATCTCCAAAGCTTAGAATAGTGTCCAACTCAAAGTATGTTTATTGAGTGTTCTTTGTATGTAAGGCATGCTAGAATAATGCAAAAGTGAGCAATAAAGGTGCTACAGGAACAATAGGAGAAGAAAATGTACTCTAATCCCTGAACAATCACAATTTCACCCTCCAGTTTTCCAATGGCCTTCTTCAAATAAACTTAAGACCTAAGAAGCTACATCACAGAAGGAATGTTCATAATATTGTAAGTTCTTCAATGCAAGGGAAAAAAGAAACACACTCTGTCTGTACACATATAAAAGGAGAATCAGTCATACTTATTACTACTTTAAGGCTGTATAAATCACCGCTCTTCTGCCTGATGGGCAAGGGCCCCTCTAGGCTGCTGTTACCTCATTTCTCCAGTTGTTTCTTTTACATTCCCGTAAGAACTTATTCTAGATAGATAGGTCTTCTTCTGCACTCTCCTCCCCACCCCCATCTTGTTCATGTTTGCTCCCATTTCTTTTTTTCAAGGAATTTACTCTAATTATGATGTTCTCCCTGACTTTTTGATCCTATTTAAATTCTCCCATTTCTCTCCTGGTTCAAGTCCATGGTTGTTTTTGTTGTTTGTTTCTTTGCATTATTGGCTCCCAACAATGCAAAGAAACAAAATGCTACTGTCTGATATTCTACTGGACAGATCCAGAATGTGGCAGAAACTTCAAATTATTTCCTTTTCATCTCACAACGTCTCTTTACAGTCTATTCACTTATCTCATTCTCTCTTCCAGCTCTCATAAAAAGATGTCAGTTGAAAGAGACAACTGCCCAACTACCTCGCCCTAACTCATTGCTGTGTAACTAACTGCTGAGAGTGGGAATGCTAAAGCAGAGTGCCATCCTGTGTAGAAAGAACTCTGAGATACTAATCGCAAGACTTGGGTTTTGCTCTGGTTAAGTCCATTTTTAGTAGCACAACGCTTGGTAAGGTCCTTGCTCTCTTGGCGTTCTTCACAATTTTCCCCAACTTAAAAATAAAAAAATAAAAAACCCAGCATATTCAACCCTGCTATTCTCTTGAGATACTATCCCAGCATTTTCTTTTCTTCTAACAAAGAATGTCTTAAAGATCGTCCTGCCTGACTGCCTTCACATCATCACCTTTCCACTTCGAAACCTGGTAACTTGGCTCTGGTTTCCATCACACAATTTCAAGTCTTCTCAGCTGCTTCTCTGCTTACAGCTCTGAAAGACTGCTGATCTCTAGCCTCTATGGCTCTCCTATTCCTCCCCCTGATTCTAATACATTTGCTCTCACTCCAGAATTCTGTAAAAATTATTGAACACCTCCCCTGTGCCAGTTGCCATGTGAAGTGCTGGGATGTAGTCCTGGTCCCTATCCTTGCATTACATTGCAGCCTACCAGCAAAGACAGATGTTGCTCAAATAACCCCACATGTAAGTGTAAAGTTGTAGCCATCATGAGAGCTGTGAATGAGAGGAACATTGTTCTGGGAGAACACTTAAAAGGAGGATTTGGTCCAATCTGGTTTGTCCTTTGAGAAACTGACAGTTGGCAGATACCCGGAGTATACATAGACTAAAGGTAAAGAAGGAGGGGGTTGAGGAGAATGGTGTCCCTGTTAGAGGAAATAGTGAAAGAGTCGGGGGCAGAGGGAGTCTAGCACATGTGAGGAATTTAAAGAAGGTAGGGATGAAAGGTAGAGAGATTGAGACAATCTTAAAAGGAAGATGGAAACTAGACCATGCCAGGCCTGATAATCCATGTGAAAGGGTCTGTCTGTAATTTTAAGTCAATGGGAAGCCATTGTATTCCATGTGTGTTCAGGGGTGAGTGTATGGGTGCGTCTGAGACATGGTATGTTTAGAAAAGATCTCTGTGGTTAAAGTGTGAAGAATGGAGGAATGGATTGGAGAGCAGATGCTATTAAGAGAAGGCTGGGCACATCCAGGTGACAGATGATGCTTTGCACAGTGCGGAAGGAAAGAAGCAGCAGGCAGATGCGGGAGACAGGATGAAACCGGCAGGTCCTGATGGTGGCGGGATGAAGGAGAGGGATGTGTCGCGGGAAGCTGCTGGGTTTCTGGCTGATGGGGAATGGCAGTTCCCAGCTGCTTCTCTACTTGATCCCCAAGTGTGGTGCTGCCCACTGTGCTCCTCCCGACTCCATCCCATCTGTGTTCTCTCCCTTGGTCCTCCTTCAATTTTCAGGCTTAAAATCCCAGTTCTACAAGATGTTACCCAAACCTTTGATGCCGTTCACTCCAAACTGGTAGCCCATTTGGCAGATATGTATACTTTGTTTATCCTAGGGTGTTTTTTAAATTAAAGAAATAGGAATTACAGAAAATTTAAAAATAAAAAGCTTTCACATAAAAAACTCTACTTGAAACTCTTTAAACAATTGGAAGCTCCATGAACCCTGGGCCCATACTCTCTCATGTCAACAGCTGACCAGAACTGAGTGACAGCTGACCCTGCTAGACTAAGCAAGCATTTTCTACTGTGCTGTGGTCCCCAACATCTGGGCACCTACACACCACATTCATTGAAGTTTTGTTTGGCCACTATAGGCATTAGACTTTAAACTTCAGATTTAGTCCAGTCACCTCAGGATGTAGAACACTTAACCACTGCCGAAAACTGACTGAAGCAGTGTCAAAATCCCATGATTTTTCCACTGCCTATACTAAATCATGCCATCGCTGAATTCAGCATCCTCTTGTTTGCCAGTTAGTGCTATTGCAAATGTTAGGCCAAGGTGTATGACCAGTTAGTTGTTTCTTTCAAGTATTGTAGGCAGTTTATGTTTACACATTTAAATGCCTTGCAGTACAGCTTATTATTTATTAGCATAAAAGTTACATATACTTTAAATTATTAAGAGTCCATGTATTACTGTATAAAAGCTTACTCATCTTATCATTCCTTTTTCTGTATAATTTTCTTCTAGAACTCTTAGAACGCTCTCTAGCCCTCTTAAACAAAAGTCAACAGCTCACGGACTTCATAGAAAAATTCAAGTGTGATGGACCGAATGTCAATCCCGAGTTGATTCAGGGAGCTCACAGCAGCTGTCTGAAGATCGACAGTCTTCTTGAACTTCTGCAGGACAGGAGAAGGCAACTAGACAAGTACCTTAAGCAACAGTGGCAAGAATTGGGTCAGGTTCTGCAGATATGTCAGTGGGACCAACAAGAAAACCAGGTAACCCGAAGGGGCATTGGGTGATACCCTGGTCTCAGCTCACTGGTGACTATGTAGATTAGCCATGCCATGGCACAGTTTCTCAGACTTCATGGTCAAATCCTTTGGTCTTGGCTCCAAAAGCCTTTCATCTAAACTACCATGTTGTTTTCCCAAGCAAGCAATATTAAAAAAGATTTTTATTTTCCTTTATTATAATATTGATTTTATAAATGAGAGAACACCCATGGGTAGTTTTGAAAATGACTATGCTCTATTGTTGGATTCTCATTTCCTTCCAGTTTACTACTTTTAGGCACGTTTCTTTAAAGTTCTGCAATGTTAATTGCAGTTTTCTTGGAAGTTGAATAGGCATTATGGTGCTGAATTTTACTAGATTGTTACTAACTTTAGTAAAAAAAAAAAAACAGCCCGTCAGCCCCAAATAGAGATAATGTTCTTAGAAGAGCGATCTAGTGCCAATGAAGAAATATGACCTTAGCCTATGGCTGACCGCTGAGTGGTCAGAGGGCTTTGGGGGTTGATGGGTTTGCAGGCTCATTGGAACTCATTACTCAGAAAGCAACCAGGGCTCCGATCAGTTGTTAGTATGCTGGCCATGCATTCCTTCCATTCTGGTCACTTGTGGGTAAGAGCAGACAGAACTCTGTTTACAAACCCCAACCTCAAATAGATGGGATATTTATTGCAACATTTCTGATTGCCACAGTCCCATGCTCAAATGTATATAGATTAAGTGGAAGAAATATTTAGGGAGAGATGATACAGAGAGCAGTCTCCTGGTGTTATACCTCTGTGGGTTTGGATAAATGTGTAATAACATGTGTCCATCATTATAGAATCATACAGACTGTTTTCACTGCCCTAAAAGCCATCTGTGCTCTGTGTATTCATTGCTCCCTCCCCCAACCCCTGGCAACCACTGAACTTTTCACTGTCTCCGTAGTTTTGACTCTTCCAAACTGTCATATAGTTAGAATCATGCAGTAGGTAGCCTTTTCAGATTGGCATTTTTCACTTAGTAATATGCATTTAAGTTTCCTCCATGTTGTTTCATGGCTTGATGGCTCATTTCTGTTTAATGCTGAATAATATTCCATTGTCTGGATGTACCACAGGTTATTCATGCATTCACCTACTGAAAGACATCTTGGTTGCTTCCAAATTTTGACAATTATGAATAAAGCAGTTATAAACATCCATGTGCAGCTTTTTGTGTAGACATAAGTTTTCAATTCATTTGGACAAATACTAAGGAACAGGATTGCTGGATTACATGGTAAGAATATGTTTAGTTTTGTAAAGAAACTGCTAAACTGTCTTTGGAAGTGGCTGTACCATTTCATATTCCCACCAGCAAAGAATGAGATTTCCTGTTGCTCCACATCTTTGCTAGCATTTGGTGTTGTCAGTGTTCTGGATTTGGGCCACTTTAATAGGTGGATAGCAGTATCTCATTGTTGTATTGATGGGCTTCATCTTTAAATTGGAAAGAATACTTAACTCACAGAGTTATTCCAAGGATTAAATGAAATATGTGTAAAATATGTAGACACAATGCCTAGCATTTTACAAGATGCTTAATAGATGTTAGTTTCTTTACCTTCCCTCTCTTTGGTAAATTCTCACAATTTGTGAATTCTTTCTCATCCAACCCAGATTCTTTCCCCTGGGTTTAGCATTACTGTTTTATGCTGCTGAGGTCTCTTAATGCTATTTAGTTTTAAGAGGCTGTCATAGGCATAGTAAGGCTTTAAGATGCACATGTGTGGTTAAGAGAATTAGGCTTTCATTTAGACTCCATCCCTAGCAGTCGTTGATCCAAACTTAATTTAATTATAATAAGGAGAATAAATATTATTTTAAATATAATCAGTCAATAAGTAAGATAGTCATTTCCTTAAATATAAAATTTAGGTTCTTGATCTTAAAACACCCATGTTACGTTTTCTCTTGCTTGCAGCAGTGACAGTGGCCAGAATAATTAATACAGGTAACTGTTGTCTCTTCATGCTTGTAAGGGTGCAGATCTTGGGACCAGGCTGTTGGCTAGGTTCAAATCCTTGCTCTACCACTTACCGGCTGAGTAATTGAGAAATTATTTAACCTTCCTGAGATTCAGTTTTCTATAAAAATGTGGATACTAATAGTATCTACCTCAAAGTGTTAATGATCAAATGAGTTATTTTATGTCAAGTGCTTGGAACAGAGTAACTTGCTATCTTTGTATTAGCAATTGTTATCATCATGTCTGAAAAGGACAGTGAAGGCTAATCATATTACACTCTCCCACTCCTAGACCCTCCACCATCATGCTCAAGTAAAACCTGGTCTTGGATTGAAAGCCAATTTCATTATTTATATTGAGTTCGCAGGGCATGATCAAATAAAAGTCACTTTTATAATCTTACCAGCCATCCTTGTTCAATGGGCACTGAGTTAACAGTTTAAAACAAAAAGTAGTATTTTTCCTGCTTGTGACTTTATAATGCTCATTTTTTAGAAATGTAGAGACCACCATCCATGCAGATGATTGGTATTAGCATTCTGGCGTACTGCCACCTTCTAGACTTATACAAGCATGAGACACAGACACACCCACATTTACTAAAGAAAAAACTAAACAAACAAACAAAAACTAATGGAATTCACCTGTATTTCCTGTATTATAACCTGGTATTTATTAAATTGAACAAATCATAGACATATTCTTGTGTCAAAAGGAGAATAAGTAATTAATGGGTATAATATAGTATTCTGCTAATTGAATATACCACAATTTAAACAGTATCTCCATGAGGAAGTGGAATCTTTTCTATTTCTCAATATTATAAACAATAATTAATGCTTACTGTATTGATAATTATGTGAACAAGGAAATATTTTAAAATCCAGGTTAGGTATAAACATAAATTATCTTACCTGAGTTCTTAAGTTTTTCTGAATGTTCTATTCTAAAGTTTTGTTGATGCTACGATGGTGAAGAAGGGACATCACACTGAGTGTGACTCAGTAATTTGGGTTTTATGATGATCATATAACTGGATGATCTACCTGACAATCCTAGAACATTGTAGAATGACATTCTATTGGAGGGCAAAGATTTTTTGTCAGTTCTGTACTTATTTTAAGGGAACATAGGAGCTGCCAAACTTTACTTAATAAAATATCAGCTTTGTCAATCACGTTAACCACTTAAGAAAAAGGGAAATTAAGTGGAGAATTAGAATAAAGATTACTGATGAATAATAATGTGGATGTCTGAATATCTGATGTGTCTTCTCTCATAAGGGCCACTTAAAAGGTACATTTAGTGCTTCTCTCTTTCTAAGTGCTTATGGCCTGATGCTTTTGAACTATAATAGTTCAGCTAATTCTCCTTTGGAAAGGAAATCAAGTGACCAGTGTGATGGCGACTTAAGATTCCCATCAAATGCAGAAAAAGAATAAATAAAAACCACATACTTTTCTATCTCAATTGGGATGTGATAGTCTCGTAAACATAATCATAGCATGTTCTTTCTTTATCATTGTTTTTCAGATGTAAAAATGTGCACTCGTTTTACATTTAAAGGCGAGCAGCTGACCTCTCTTTTTAGCTCTAGCAGCATCTTATTTTGCAGATAATCTGCTTCATTAATGAAAATCAGAAGCAGCTTGGAGTATTTCGTGCATAATTAATTATCTTGGCAAGAAGATTTATGAATGTAATTTTTCTCAATTGCTCCAGTCAGGCATAAATGAGACAAACAAATATATTAAAACTAAGTTATTCATGGTTTCTTTATACAAGACAGTGTCAAGAATGCCTAGGAGAGTTAAGACATGAGGGCAGACAATGTCTTTTTACTACCCAGATCACATATACTTATAAGATACACATCTTTGTGGGGGAGAGGAAGATAATAGAATTCACATTTGGAAGGTTTTGTGGTTTTATAATTTGAGTACAGTGTATATCATAATAATGCAGTATATTCCTTGTCAATAGACAATTAAAATTATATCAGAGATGACATATATAAGCATAGCTCTGGGCACCAGTCTCGTGCCTGGTAGTCATCTATAAAACTTGGTGTGTGTAAACAGACACATTCATGTGTATTTTTTGTATATAATGCCACCTTCTAACTAGGATTTAGAGCTTGGATGTTTGATCCACTTAAATTAATATGAGATAACATACAAAGTGGTAAGGGTTTAGAAAAAAAATCTTTCTTTGAATGTGGCTTTCAAATATTGGCTAGTATAAGACCAAAATAAGGGGTGAATTATCGTGGTGATACTGGTATCCAATAGTTTGGTCCAGTAACAAAAATAAATGACATCTACCCACTCGTAGATTAAAATTTATCACAGAATTTCATTTTAGCACACAGGCTCTAGGCTCTCTCTAGGATTCTCTTTAAGGCATGCCAGCAGTAAATGCAAAGTGTTTTACAGTGTTTGTAGAAGAAGCATGTGATTTTGAAAGTAATAGAGACCTCTCCTAATTGGAATGCATGCTGATCACTATTGCTTTCAATGGCATTATAGGCCAATGATAGTAACAGGGACTCTGGTGCAGGTGGCATGGGTATCAATTTATTAGCCGTGTGACTTTGGGGCAGTTACTTAGCCTTGGTGCCTCAGTTTCCCTTTTTGTAAAATGAGGATAATAATAGTATCTGCCTATACATTTGTTATCAAAATAAACAAGATTATATATTTTAAAATGCTTAGAGCACAGCTTGGCTCCAATAATGTTCAAATAAATGTTCACCATATCACTACATATTTTGGTGGTCACTTTCTAAGCTTTACTGAATAATCAGTGGCATACAAAATCTTACATATTGGCTTGATCCCACACCAATTCTCTAAACCACTAAATAATCTTAGCTTTCTAAAATGTGAGGAGGAATAAATGTCATTTCATGGCTTGGTATCCAGCTTCGTTTACTCAAAAAGTCAGCTTTATCTGCAAGATCAAGTTAAAAATCAATTTTCCCCTCCTCTAT